GTACTTACAGGAGTAGACACATCAAGGAAGACAAAAAAATGCAAATAAGCAAGAGACTAAATAAAAAACATCAGGGAGAGTATTTTTTATACAACAGAAAAGATTTTACTGGAGTGGACCTGCCACACTGCAAAACTCTTGAGGTTATCACACTGCTCTTAGCTGAGAGAAAAACAGGTTAATTGCACCAGATCTGCATTTGGAGGGTGATGATTTGTGACACAACACTAAAAGGAGGTAGTAAATATATGATGTTTCATTGGCAATGATCTCATTTGAATATTTGCATAATGAGGGGGGATTAACTGGGTTAATGACAGTGGCTGCCCCAGTCACACCATCCCAAACCCATGGGGATCTCTGCCCAGCGTGGCAGGAAGGATGGAAATTTGGGAGAACAGGCAGCTGGTGGAAACCTCAGTTCTTGTGCTTGCTGATTCATGCAAGGAGGGAAGAGAAAAGGAACAAAAATGCGCCAACATGGTGAAAACAAAAGGCACCATCTGGCTCTGAGGAGGTCTGGGCTCATCCAAACAGCACCAGGACACACACACACACCCAGCCAAGCTCTCGTGGACTGGGAGCAACATTCCAGCCTTGGCCTGGTTTTGGTCCCACATTCCTGAGGGATCAAACCACCCAGCCCACAAACACTGCTCCAGCACCTGCTTTTCTGACAGCCCAGAGGATGGGGGGACCCCCAGCAAGGACAGAGCAACACTGGCAGAGAAAAAGGAGAGTTGGGAAAGTAAACTGAAATACTTGGATGAATGGTGAATCAAACAGGGAGTGAGGAACACACAGAGAACTCGAGATTTGGTCAAGTTGGGGCTGTCTGAGCCTCACTGAAAAACAAAGTCAGGGAAGCAGTGACACAGAGTTCTTCTGCAGACAACACTGGGCTATAGAAGATACTGCAATTATTTTGAATTTCTTTCTTTTTTAATTAAGATTTCATCATGGTTCTGTTGTTTTTAATCATAAACCTCATGGTTAATTCTATTTCCTTTCTCAGATAACTGATTTTTCATTCCTTCACCCAACAAGGACAGAGCAACACAGGCAGAGAAAAAGGAGAGTTGGGAAAGTAAACTGAAATACTTGGATGAATGGTGAATCAAACAGGGAGTGAGGAACACACAGAGAACTCGAGATTTGGTCAAGTTGGGGCTGTCTGAGCCTCACTGAAAAACAAAGTCAGGGAAGCAGTGACACAGAGTTCTTCTGCAGACAACACTGGGCTATAGAAGATACTGCAATTATTTTGAATTTCTTTCTTTTTTAATTAAGATTGCATCATGGTTCTCTTGTTTTTAATCATAAACCTCATGGTTAATTCTATTTCCTTTCTCAGATAACTGATTTTTCATTCCTTCACCCAAATCAATTCAAAACACCTGATTACTGAGCAAGATGAGCATCTCCAACAGCCCCCTGACATCAGGATGAGACAGGTGAGACTCAGGTATGAATATTAATTAAGAAGTACAGTGAGTAACAGCCCTGTGAGAAGTGATATTTGAACAGACTGGGTAGAACTATTTACTGTGCAATTATTAGAAAGCATCAAAATCAGAAGAAGGACACTCCAAACTTGACAGGTACAGGAATGTGCTTATCAGTGCAACAGCCAAACTGCTCTGCTTCAGGAAAAAGGGAATTTCTTCACTTATCTCCTTGGAAAGGTGAGAGATTCCTATTCACAAATTGTTTGATGTGAATATGATATGCAAACCTAAGTTATTTATTACAATCGGCTTATTCTTATCACAGAATTAACAGCAATAGAATTATAAGCAATTTCATTGCAATACTCATTAGCAAACTGTTGGATCACTCACTCCCTCGCATATTTCAGATTAAACAGCACAATTTCAGGGATCCCAAGAACTAAAGCCACTGGGGTCAGTCAGACCTTTCACTAAATCCTTTCTCTGAGCATTAACACCTGCTTATCGTTTAAACACCAGCTGACAGAGAAATGCTTATAAACAAACTCCCCAAGTCCACAGAAGGCTAAAAATCATGTGAAATGAAAGCAAAGCAGCTCCTGCCGTGGGGAGCTGTAGCTCTTCACCGGCACGGGCAGCACCGGGGAGTTTTCCTTGGCATCCTCTGGAGCAGCAGCTCATTCCCAGTCACATCCCACCGCTCAAGGAACGGCGTGGAATTTCCACAGGAGCAGTTAAATCTGCTCTGACAGGAGCACAGGAGAAAATCCTCCCGTGGGCGGGTGGGGATGCCCAGAGCAGCTGGGGCTGCCCCTGCATCCCTGGCAGTGCCCAGGCCAGGCTGGACAGGGCTGGGAGCACCTGGGACAGTGGAAGGTGTCCCTGCCACGGCAGGGCTGCCACTGGCTGGGATTTCATCCTTCCCACCCGAACCATTCCACGATTCCAAACGCTGCGGCTGATCCCGCAGAGCCCACGGAGCTGCCCTGGCTCAGCGCGGCGGGACAAACCCGGGGCGGGGCCCGGAGCCTCGGCGGCGGATATTCTTTAATTCAAAACCCCAAACGTTCCATCTCCGCCCTGAGAGAGGATGAAAACAACTTCCCCACCCGCACCCGCGGCACGGCCCGGCCCGGCGGCGGCTGCGGCGGTGCCGGGGCTCAGCTCACCTGCGGACGGCTCTGCCTGAGGGGCGGCGGGGACGCGCAGTGTCCGTGTGGGGCGGCGGGAGCGCGCAGCGCCCGCGGGTGTCCGTGATAGGCACCGGGAGCGCGCAGCGCCCGCGGGTCCCGGGGCGGGGGGGCGGCGGGAACGCGCCTGCGCGTGCGTGTCCGTCCCCCCCCCCCCCCCCCCCCGCCCCCTGCCGGGGGGGGGGGGGGGGGGGGCTCGGCCTGCCCCCCCCCCCCCCCCCCGTGCCCGGGAGCTGAGGGGTGCGTGAGGGGGGTCGGTGACCCGGATGGAGAGAGGGAAAGGAGGGGAGGAGAAAGGGAGGGATGAGGGAAAGGGAGACGGAGCGGGAATGGAGAGGCGGGAGGGAGTCGGGGCTCTGCGCATGCCCCGGCCGCGCTGAGGGGTCGCGGCGGGTCCGGTCCCCTCAGGGGCCGCGCGGTCCCGGCCCCGCCGCCGCCTCCCCCGGGACGTCTCAGGGGAGCCCCAAAAGCGCTCCGGGGACGCTTTGGGCCGTGTTTACACGGCACTGAGCCAGCCATGGGAGCACACCGCCCGCTGGGCCGCGAGGAGCGGCTGGCCAGGCTCCCTGTGGGAATGGCTGAGCTCGGAGCGATGAGAATTTATTTTAAAATGCTGCAAATCGCTCTCGGAGCAGCTTCCGGGCGAGGGGATGGCGGCTGCTGTGGAGGAAGGAGCTGCCCAGAGAAGCTGGGGCTGCCCCTGGATCCCTGAAGGTGTCCAAGGACAAGCTGGACAGGGTTTGGAGCAGCCTGGCACAGTGGAAGGTGTCCCTGCCATGGCAGGGGTGCGATGGGATGAGATTTAAGGTCCCTTTCAACCCAAACCATTCAGGGATTCTTTGATTCTTCCCCTGGCATCAATGGGGATGGCTCTGCCATCAGCCTCGGACAGCTGCCAGCTGGGAACAGTGACAGTTTGTGTCCTCCTCGGAGTAAACCACAGCTTAATCCGGCCATGAGATGGTTTCAGACAGCCGTCATCTGAGCTGGGTGACACATCAGTGCCTGTGCACGTTTACCTCTCTAAAGAAAGCACAAACCAACATCCTTTCTTTGGTTTTTCACAAAAAAACTACACAAATCTATTGAGTTTCACTGACAGTAATATCGAGTTCAACAGCTCTGTGTCCTCGCTTGGAAAGACAGAAAACAGCGTGGGCTGGTGATAGGAGTAGTGAAATTTCTGTGGCTGAAATATTTTCTTTTAAATTTCAGAACCAGACAGAAATGCTGAGCTGGGCTTCTCTATCAGGGGGAAACATCACTAGTCAGAAAACAGCCCAGCAGATGCCACTTTAGCAAGGTAGGATCAGTCTCCCCTGTCCAGGTAAAGGCATTCTGCAATTCAGATGCAGTGCAAATTCAGGTGGTAACAGGTTACTCTCCATCCTCAGCCCTCCCTTGCTGCAATCTCCTGCTTTATCGATTCAATACCACATTTCCCTCCCTGGGCAACAATAGATTCTGCTTTAATACCACTAACTGCAACATTTGTGTCCACTTCAGTGGCATTTAAAATACTTTGTCTCTTGCAATAACACCTCGTTTGTAGCACTCCTGTAACACTCCCGACATCAATGGCACATCTTTGTATCAGCACTGAGAACACTTGTAATGTAACCCACTAACTCTGAATGGTGAATGTTAACAAAGAGCTGCCACTTTTATCAGGAATTCTGGGGACTGGGGAATCCAGGGATTCAGTGAAGTGCAGCTCTAACACCGAGGCTGCCCTTGGGTTGTTTGTCTTTTCTCCCTTTGTGGTTTGGGAGCCATTTAATTAAAAGTATCCTGAGGGTTACCCTCAGCTTCTCCCCACGGGCTGCAAACCCACCTGGTGAGTGTTAATTAGGTTGGCAAGCAGTCGATGAAGCCAAATTGCCACTTTTCTGTATCCCAGACACACAGGTGCCCTGTGCCCGAGGGATGACACCTGCCACAGCTGCATTCCCAGCTGTTCTCAGGGGGCTTGGACGTGTCAGAGAAACTCAATTTCAGTAACAAACATCACTAGTCAGGCCAACAAACATACAGTGATTTTGGGTTGTGTCCCCGCCCCTTTATTTGGATCACAATTTCAAGCTCTTCAGAATATTAAATGCAAAATAGTTTTTTCAAAGCCCTGTAAAAGGAAGTTTTAAAAGTAAATTGCAGCTGACCCCAGCTATGTGGAGACTCCTGTGAAACTGGGAGCATTAGTAATGCTGTAACAATCTGCATTTCATTTATAATTATCCTGTTAAAAACAGACAGAGAGCTCTTTGAATACACACTTTAGTCACCTAAATTCTGTCAACTTCCCAAGACATTTTTGGTCAATTGAAGCTCTGTCAGGAGCATGGATCCAGCCAGAATTCCATAGGTTTTACCACAATCTTTTATTCAAAGTTTGGTTTCATTTGTCTCACCTGAAAGACAAATAGAATTAAACAGACATGCAACATTGCCTGTGAAAAATGAAGCAGTTGTCCTTTATAGTGCAAGAGTGTAAAGCTTGATTTATTTACACATTTTAAGGTGAACAGGAGAACGTTGTAGGCAGATCATTTTATACGTTCAGCTGTGCTCCACAGAGTTAAGTTACACAGAAAATACACACTGAGGATGTTTTAAGTGCTCTGGTGCATTGAGAAGCCACACAGGGTGGAGGCCAGAGATGTCAGTTCCCACTGGGTGAGGAAGGCAGGGATGAAGCCAAGGAGCTGCTCCTTCAGCCAAGTGCTGGAGCAGCTCCTGGTGCTGAGAAATCCCTTCCATTTGGAATCCATTTGAAATCCCTTCCATTTGGAATCTGAGGGTGCTGTGCCACGTGCAGGGTCCTGCATCAGCCCTGCAGTGTAGATATTCACAGATCAGAGTGTGCTGTACAACACTTAAATCATTTTTCACCCTGGAATGTGGCACAGGGCTCCTCTCCTTTAAACCTTCCTGAGCTGCTCAGCTGTAAATATTTGCTGCAATGCCAGGCATGGCCACTGTCACCTCAGACTAACAAATATTCTGTGAAAAGCTCAGTGTGAGGGTGTAAAACCCTTCCTGTTTCAGCTTCTCTGGACTAGAAGGGAGGTGAGGAGTTTAATTCACTCCTGAAAGAGCCAGAAAGAGCACAGAAGTCCTTCAGTCAAGTTTAAACAAGGTACTTGGTTTCTCTGGGCCTTGCTCATGCCTTTTCTTAGGCTAAAGAGCAGAAAATAACATTTTTTGGAAGATTGGGAGAAAAAGCAAGAAAGAGGAAGGTGCATAAAATTAAAAAAAAAAAATAACAATCAAACAAAACCAACCCCATTTTAGGATTCCAGTGTTGAACAGCAGCAGCAAACAGGAGTGAGTGCAATCCCTCAGTCCTGCCCGTCCCTCAGTCATGGAGCTGAGGCCCATGGCCAGGAGCACCCCAGGCTCCACTGCTGTGGCACAGTGATCAAAAATATTGTGATTTATGTGCTGTAGAAACAGACACCACCTCCAGTGGAGGCCTTTGGCAGGGAAGTTTCAAGAAGCAAACAAAGGAAGATTTCCCTGTGGCTGCAGGTAAAGGGAACTGTCATTATTAAGTAGAATTATTTGAGCACACAGAGACTGTGTAAATAAAACATGGTTATGTAAAGTTTTGGAGCAAGACTTGCCTTTAGAATCTTTGCAATAAAGGGCCAAACCCACACAATAACACAAAAGCTCAGCTGGTGGCAGTTTCACTCAGAGAAGGGCTGACACCTGAGGGCTCTGTGCAGGGAGCAAGGGCAGGACCTGGGCTCAGGAGAACTGGGGAGTTTACACAAAACCACCCCTGAACAGGCCAGAGAGCAGCCTGCAAGGCAAGCCCAGAGCACTCTGTCCCCTGCCTCTGTGTCTGTCTCTCAGGGCCTGTGCTGAGGAGCAAAACCCAAAGCAGGACTCATGGCTGCCAGGTCTGTGCTCAGTCTGTGCTGGGTTTAAACCCTGCTGAGAACTGGGACCAGTGCACTGGCACACACAGGACCATCCTGACTTGGATGTCAGCAGCCATTTAGGCCCTTGTGATGAATTATTTTGTACCACCTAATTAACCACAGAGAATATTGCCATGGAACAAGTGTGTGGTGTAGCACAGCTTGTTTTCAGACTCTGTGTTCTGTGACTGCAGAACCAATAGGTCAGAACAGGTTGATGAAATGGGAAGAGATAAGGAAAGGCAGCATTCCTGTGCCCTCCCCATTCAGCCTCCCTGCAGTGCTTCATTCTGCATCGTTAATGAACAAAAGCTGCCCATAAATTCACCAACAATCGATGGCCACATGCAAAGGCAGTAAATCAGTGTCACTGCACCCCAGCAAGATGAATGCTCTGGCAGCAGGAGCCCATTAACATCCTTATCTTGCCTAATCACAAATAAAGTATTGAGGGTGAAAGGAAAGCTGTTATTTCTTGAGGTTTCCTAAGTTCCAGTGCAGGGGATGCCACTGATAAGATGTGAATTGTGCCCAGCTGGTGAAGAAACCTGGGTACAGCCCCAGGGCACCTCCCCTGTGCAGGGGGAAGGTTATTTTTCTAAGCTGCACAAAAATGCCAAAGCAATCCAAAGCATGCCCAGATTGAATGAGTCTGCAGAGCTGGCAAAGCAAACAAATGCAAAGGAACAGTTCTGTTGTCATTTACAACAAAAAGAACCTAGAATAATCATGTACAGGTCAGGGGAGTTGTTGGGAATTTCTGGTAGTGGCAAGAGAAACTGGCCATGAGTCAATTTAACAAATAAAAATAAAAATAAATAAATGCAGAAAGATACTATTCCAAACCTAAAATAATCCCAAACTCCCTGGTACTGGGGGAATCACTTAAAAATACACAGAACATGAGAGCTATTCCTTTCAAATAAAATTCCAGGGTCCTGGAGACTACTATGCAGGCAGCCCAAACCACACTGAGTGGACTTAAAATTCAGTTTTCCAGAAAAAAACCCCAATTTTAGAGCAGCCAGTGCTACCAAAGTGCCAGGATAACCAGTGAATGTTGTACTTTCTCCTCCTCACATGACAGTTCCCCATGCTCCCCCTGTGTCCATTCTCCCTCAGTATCAGCTCCTGGCCATCTCCTGGAAGCTGGAAAAATATCAAAGTACACAAAGCTCCATTATCCTCACAGGCCTCAGTGAGTGCTGGGCTGTGCAACTTCTCTCCTTAGGTCATCCACAATAGTAGACAAGTATTGTTTTTCCTTTTTTTAAAAGAAAGAAAAAAGGGGGAGGACCCCAGCTTACATCACCTAAACTGAGCTTTTGAACTAAGGAACTTAACACCTTTAGTTGGGACTACTAAAGTTTGAAATCCTGCCTCAATCAGAAAGAAAATAAATAAACATGATAAAGAATTCAGATTTTGTCCAAAATTAGATAAATTCCCCACCAGACACAGTCACATCATTCTCATTTCTCCACGTCCTCATTCTTTATAGTGTTCCCTCTGCACCATTTAATCCAACTTGAAGCTCCTGCTATGAAATCAGAAAACTGGCAAATAATCTTTGTTCTAAGCCATATAATCCAGTGGTGCTCTAAAAACAACCCCATCCTCAGTGCTTATGCTCAACACCAGAACAGAAGTGCCCAAAATTGGTGGTTTGAAGGGATAAAGTGTTCACTCTCACCAGTTCTGCTGCTCTAAAGACACAGCGAGTTCCAGTGTTGGTGCTTCAAAACAATTCCATTTATTGCCATGTCAGGGGAGCTCCATGGTCACACCAGGATTTAGAGCCTTCCTGGAAATCTGTCACAGTCCCTGTAAATGAAAGATTAAATCCTGTCCTCCTCTCTCTGTGAGCAGCTCCTGAAAACTTGTCTGGAGATAAAACCACTCCCAGCAGGGCTGAAAACTGCACAGTCACTTCCACAGCACCTCCTCTCTCATCAGTTCCACAGTGCTGCACTCACCAGTCCACCATTCCACACTCCCAGCCAGCAGAATTCCATGCAGGACTGGGATCTGCTTCCCACCAAGTGCTTTCAACTTCCCAACTAGAAAAAGTTGTTTATTTTAATAATCAGCCTGGAAAGTTCAACTCGAGACGAGCTTAAAACTCTTCTCAAGGTCGGCTTTACGCTTGCTTCTATTTGAACAGGTAAATAAATAAAGGTCAAACTCCTGACGACTCCCATCAGTCCTTGAAGGTCACTCACTCCTTCTTGCTGTGCTCCAGCACCCTGTAGGGAGGGGCAGAGGCTGCCTTGGATCCGTGCTGCTCCTGCACGATGGGCAGCGTGGCTGGAGTGTAGATTTCTGGCATGCTGTCGTTGTTCTCCAGGGCGCCGTAGGAGAAAGAGGCTTTGAGGTCAGGCTGCACTGCAATCCCTTTGTCGTGCATGTTCTGCATGCCTGCAGGAGCAGAGGCACAGATTAGGGACAAAAGTGCTTTTTTTGCTGCTCTCTGTTCAGCCAGGAAATGAGCAGTCCCCGAGGCTCGTCAGCTGCTCGGGTGTTAAATCAAAGACAGGATGGGTTTGTGCTCAGCACTGGAGCAGCTGATGGAGAAATAAGCTCCCAGTGAATGAGGGATGGCTCTCAGTTATCCATCAAGTGCTGCAGATCTTACAGCTCACCACAGAGCTTAGCTGTGCTTCCCAAAGGAAATTTCTGCTCCTCTGCCTCATTTCTGAGCCATCCCCAAAACTCAGTTCTTCCTGCTGGACCCAGCCCAATGCCAAGCTCGTGCTCAAAGCAGTTCATATTCCCAGATAACAACTGCCTGATCCCCCCAGCCCTGAGCAGAGGCAAAGCCTGAGCCCTCCCTGTGCAGCCCAGCTCTTGAACAGGGGGATGAAGCCCTGCACTTGGTACCTGGCATGGCATCCATTGAGATGTAGGGCTCAAAAGGGACAGGCTTCTTCCTGTTCCTGGTGATCAGGAAGACTCCCAGGAATGCTATGAGACACCTGAGGGAGGAGAAAGGATCACTGAGATGCCTGGCAAGGGAGAGCACAGAATATCCCCTGTTGCTCCCTACAGAATCCAGAGCTGCAGTCCAGGCACTGCAAATCCAGAATTCCAGAGCACTGTCCAAGCTGAGCCCCCCTGGGCAGCACTGGAACACCCCCAGCAACCAGCACAACTTTATCAAACACATGGGAAAGTTTTCATGTTAATGAATTAATTAACCTTGACTAACTGCAGGGGAAAGGAAGCATAGCAACATTTGGTTTTACTTTGATGGAATTCCAGGATTTAGCAGCCTGACCTTTCCAAGGCTCCCTGTAAACACACCAACAACCACGGATCTGGATTGTCACAGAGCAAGGTGCAGCTCAGAACAATGATCTCCCTAATTGTTTGGAGATTTTTTTCTGTACTTATCTAAAAGCCATTTGAGAATGTCCCCTGATTATGGAGAGCTAATTACACCAAAACACTCAGTTACACAGGAAATGTTTTACTGATCAGATCTGCATTGTGCCTTCTCCATGCTCTAAAAACTCCAGAAGTCAGACACAGTTCAGGGAAGGTGCAAAGTCTGAAATAAGATTCCCAGAGAGAGTCTCTTTGGGTTATTTTACAATTCCTCCAGATTCATGAGCAGGCAGCTTGAAAACCAAGCCATATGCTCAGCACCCCAGCTGATCCCCAGGATTTAGTGATTAATTGTTGTGTAATTGTGCATTACCAAGGGTTACACGATTTTTTCCAAACACAACACTGAGCTCTAAGGGCCACTCTCTGCTCTGACAGAGAGGCATTTTTAAAACAGATTTGGATTTTTAAAATTTGAGCCATGTGAAGCAACAGTTTTCTGTCAAAGAAACCTGGAACACTCACCCCAGTGCAAACATACAAATGTGGAGAACATCTTCACCCATGAAGTCCAGGTAAAAAGTTGCTCCTGGAAAAGAAAATCATTCATTACATCTTCCCAATTCCACCTTCAGCCAGAACCCACATCAGCCAGGATTCCTATTTTTATAGCCAGCACCTTTGTTTATTTAATGATCTGAAAATAGATGTCCTGATTTCTATTTTAACACAGATTATTGACAAATATTTTTGAGTTTCACTACCAAAATAGTTCTGCTGGTGTCACTAGCAGAGATATAAATGAATCTGTGCAGCAAAAACAAGAGGGACTATTTTGGAATGATGAAACAAATTGGATTTAACTACAAAAAGATGCAAACTCTTGACCCCAAACAACAACAAACAGCTCCAACTTCCAGAAGTGTCTTTGGTGTCTTGGTGTCCTGCAGGACACATGTTCTGCCTCCTGCTCTTTACATTTTTAATGTAAAGAAAATAAAGTCAAAAATAAATAACAAGGGAACATTTTACCTGCAGATCTAAGAGGAACAATTGCAAACAAATTCCCCTGCACTTTTAACAAAATGACAGCACTGAACAGAAAATTTTAACACAGTCTACTGGGATAATTCACATTTTTAAAAAGAAAAAAAAAAACCTAAACAAAGCCAGTACAGATGAGAGATGACAAAAAAATAAGAGTCACCATATTGCTGAGTATTCACCTTCTTCAGGAGGATTATTTCCCAAAATCTTTTGCCCTTTTTTTAGGGAGGTTTGTGCAGTTACCTGCTGAGATTGCTGCTGTGGTGGATAGGATGTAGCCAATGCTGGAGATCTGAGCTGAGTCATAGAGCTGGGAGGCTTGAGCTAAAAACCTGCAACACAATCACAGGCAACAGGGGCTGATTGGGAAGGATCCTTTTTTTGGAAACACCTTTCAAAAGTGATGCATAAATTTAAGGAAATTCATTCTTTTTCTCACTGAACAGCAGCAGCAGCAAGCCTTGGAATGAATAAAAAGGAGAGAAGAGGGAGGTTTGTGGCTGCACTGAAATTACTGCCCCAACCTCAGGGCCAGTGTCCCTCATATTTTGAGAAGCCTTTTATCCCTGCTGCTACCAGCTTTTTATGTTATTGCAAGTATAAAGGGGAAAAAAACCCTAAAAATAAACACATTATCAACAACACTGATCCTGCACTTTGATTTCTGGCAGCACATATACTGCATTTGATTTGCCACCATTTCAGTCCTAAAACTGTTTGGCAAATCCTTGAATGGTGCCATCAAACCACTGGCAGTGTCACTCTGTGGAAAAGGAATGACCCCTCCAGGCTCCTGGGGCAGATCACAGCAAAGAATGGATAATTCTCCTACATTTTAATGGGAATTTTTGGCATGGTACCAAAGAGCTCCTGACCCCCACCCCACAGAACTGCAGAGAAAGAGAGGAGTCCTTACGTGGCCTGGTAGATGGCTGTGGCAATCATGCACACCAACATGATGTAGAAGATGGGGGAGTCCAGCTGCAGGCTGTCCTGGATGGACACCAGGATCATCCCAGCCACAGCCTTCACTGTCACCACCGTCATGGAACCTGGGGGGCACCACACCCAGCTGGGGCAGCTGCAGGAGGCTGCAAAGCACCCCAGCACCCCCAAAAACCTGCCCCTCCTCCTGCCAGGCCAGACAAGGCGTGCAAACTGCCCGTGTGCCACCAGCTCTGCCCGTGCTGATCCCCACAAACCCACCAAAAAACCTCCCACAAATCACTGATCCTTTTTCTATCTGCAGAACTGGGAGCATTTACTGTGTTTGAAGAGTGTTCTGCAATTACAGGATGGGAGGAAATGATTTTCCGTTTGGTTTGGTTAATAAAGTCAAAGAAGTGTCCAAAACAATAATCAGGAAGAACTTTCCTTTCTTGAAAGTTGGGCCATTCAGAATTAGGGAAGTTGCTTTGTAATTCATGGAGCCTCTGAGGCACCACTGAAATCCAGACCCAAAGAGCTCAAAAAAACAAAAAAGAGTAAAATAAAAGACATTGCATGAACTGAAGGTACATAAACAGTAAAAATTTAGGACTGGACACAGATTTCAGCATGGCAGACTTGCTATTAGTCATCCTTTTAAAAGTTTAATTCATTACAGTTTCCATCAAAAAAAAAAAAAAGTATTAAATGTGTATATCCAAAGTCACTGCAGGATCCCACTGTGGGATATCAGAATCACCAGGGACTCAGTTCCACAGGGACAACCTGGGGTGGCTGAGGATTCCTCATTTCTTCAACCACACAGCAAATCTTAACAGAGCTAAGACAATTTTTGTAGGTCAAATCCTCTCTTTCACCCACTGGCTCAGCCCTCCTTGCACACCCTTTGTGTGCCCAGATTAAAATGAAGAACACTAATAAATAACCTGCACTTTCTGTGCTTGGCACATTATTTGTCTGATGGGAAATAAGCCTTAATTGTTTAAAGGTCCTTTGCAAAGATCCTAAACATCAGCTTCAGGAACATTTCTGGAGGAAATTAGTGCATTTCATGGCATTAATTACATCAATATAATCCCCTGCATGCCTCAATTTACTGTTCAAAGATCTTACAAAGTCCACATCAACTTACCCAGCAAAGCCACCAGCAGGAGAATAATGACAATGTAGTTTGCATTTCTCTCCTTGTAAAAATACAGGAGCAGACAGAAAACAATGATCTCCACAAGCTCCAAAAGAGAGAAATGAGAATATTAGAGATGCAGAGCACATGGGGCTGGCAGCAAATGAGATTCTGAGCCAATCAAACATTAGAATAGGGCAAATCAAAGGGAAATGGGGATCCCACACAATTATAGACAATTCAGCATCATCTCAGATTCCAGTTACAGGAGCAGCTTCTGGCAGAACAGGAAACACAGGGCACTTCTGGTGCTGGATTTGTGGTGAAGCACCTGATCAAACAGTCCTGACTGAATATTCACAGGAGAGATCTCAGTCTGCTTTCTGCACTGAGCTTCCACAAGTGATCCCTGGGGCAATGCCAAGATTATCTTCACTAAAACACAAATTTCATGGCATTTTCAAGAAGAGATTTGTGGGCTCAGAGAAAGTCAGTGTGGAAAAAGCCCAGATTCAGGCACCAATAAATTTTCAGTCAAAGACATTTCATCCTACAGAATTCAGAGAAACAAAAGGAGCTGTGCATGTGTCTGACACCTGGAAAAGCTGTCCCAGGTTCATGAGTGAACACAGGGAACACTGGCAGCAACCAGGAGAAACAATGCTGGAAATGAAACTGCCCCCAGCACAAAACCCCCACCCTCCACGGCCCCTCACCATGTAGAGCAGGAATGGCCAGCTCACTAAGTGCCTGGTGATGTTTTCTGCTGTCATCTTCTCGTGGCTGTTGGGTCCAAATGTCACCAGCAGGTAAGTGCCAACAACTGCCAGGCCACAGCCCACAAAGGACAGCAGGTACCGCCCTTGGGCAGGCACAGGAACAGGAGAGGAAGGGTTAATGAGGGAGTGGGATGCATGCAATTAATGAATTAATCCCACAGCACCATCACTGGATGTTCCTCTGGGCCCCCTTCCTGCCCCACCTCCAAAATCCTGCAGCCACCAGGGGCAGTGAGGGAGTGGGAGCTGAGACCAAGCTGGTACCAGGTGGCATCTGCTAAATAAATAAAACTGCAAGATCTGTGATCCTGCCTGGCACTGCCCACGGCCCTTTCCCACTTTCCCACACCTCCATGTTCATGGAATTCATTCCCTTGTGCCTGTGCTGCAGCTTCAGCCTGTTTCTAAATGCTGTGAGGTTCAGGGGATCTGGCACAAGCCAGGAGAAACATATCCATTTGTAATAAACAGTGGAAGAGATGACACATTTCATCCAAGATGTGCTAATGAGACCTTGCCAGCCCTGTAATTATAATTCCTGAGGGCCCATGCTGTGTGGGATGAACTGTAAACACAGAGGAAAAATGAAAAGAAGCTGTGGAACTTACTCAAAAATTCCTTGGGCTTCCATTTTTCTTTAATAAATATAATTCCTATGATTGCACTAGCTACGAAAGAAAAGAAAATGAGAGACAAACAGTGAATTCTGGAGTCAGGAACCTCCCACAGGAACACACTCAGGCTCTTTCCTCCTTACCCACAACAGACACTGCACTGAGGGGCACAATCAGGGAGAGAGGAGCAAAGGCATAGGAGGAGAACACTCCCAGCTCCCCCAGCAGCAGCAGCAAGAATCCACTCCACCAGGTCTTGGTCCTGAAGTAGGCCCGGGGGTCTTTGGAGCCTGCCAGCCTGATGTGGCTGTATTTCTAGGCAAGAAAACAGAAATGAAGCAGCTTTGTCACGTCTGTTTGTTTATTTCAGTGCAGGATGAGTGTTTGCTTCAGGGCACTCACCTGGAGGTTGAGGGCAATGCTGCTGACAAGGTGCCCAAAAATAGCCAGAAGTGCCCCAATCAAGTTCTCCTGAAAAAAACAAAGGGAACACACAATTATTAAATTCAGCCAAGGATCCCAGAGGGGTTTGCTCTCTCTGGAGGAGAGCAGGATTTTAAACCATTCCTGAATCATGGAATAGCCTGGGATGGAAGGGACCTTTAAAGGTCATCTGGTCCAACACCCAGCTGCCAATAAAACCTGTTATCTTCCTCCCTTCCTGCTGATGTGGGGCAGCTCAGATAAGTGCTGTGCCTGTGCTCCAGACCTGTGAACTCAGGTGGAAGATAAGCCTCAACAGCCACTTTCTCCAAGAGACTTCAATTAGTTTGCAGTTTCTCAGAGAGGAGCAAGATAAGGCTAAAAAGCCCCACACCATCACTCATTCCTCCCTCTGAAAAAACTCTTTTATGAGGATTTTATTGCCTTGGAATTCTACAGAGAAGGATCAGGAACCTCTGCTTCTCAACTATTTTGCTCTTCTCCACTTGTGACAGCTGCTGGTTCAGTCACTGATTCAGCCCATGTGATGAGGCAGCCCAGTTATCACAGATTTAATCTGCTTTTTGTATAAACCAGTTATTCCCAAAGTCACAGGAGACTGCTGACAGCTCCCAGCCTCTTGTGCATTGGCATCTGCAGCTCAGCAACAATTCTCATGCTCTGAAGATGGAATTTGAAATGAAGAAAGGATGTAAAGCAGGCTGAGTCACACAGGAGATGCAGAGGAGGACTGAAGAGAAGAGCCTGAGGCCACCAAACATTTGTGTGCTCCCAAAACTGCCTAAACCTCATTAAATGTCATTAGCACTGCTCCTTCAGCCCAGTCCTTGGACTGATTTGGGATAACCCAGCTCACATTCAATGTGAACAGGAATAAATGGACATATCTTGATTTTTTCATACACAGATTTCAGATTCACAGCAGCAGAACAAAAACCTCTTTAATAGAATGCACAAAAATAAGATTGACCCAAAGAGCTTCACTCAAAACCACCTGAGAGAGGTTCCCAGACAGAGAAGGTGGCAGGAGGATGTCACTGTGTGACCACAGTGCAGAGTTCTCTGGGCTGTGACAGCCTCAGGCAACAGCACTTGGGTCAACTTCCACAAGGGCCCAGGACTGTGTCTCAAAGGAAAATAAAACCCCTTTTTGCTGAGATTCTCTGAGCACCTTCAGAATCAGGGCTTCAGAGGGAATTTATCTGCTCAAAGCTGGAGAACAAGCAGGAGTTCCAGCCCCACGTCCCAGGCAGCTGCAGCCTCTGCTGTGGGCTCAGCCCTGCAATTCAAACAGCTGAGGGCACAGAGCAGAGCAGAACCTCTGCTCTGTCACTGCTGCACGGCTGAAATGTGGGAATCACTGCACCCAAACAGCTGCACACCTTCCCCTGCCACACCTTCCTGCAGCCCCTCTGCTCTGCAGACACTGAATTTCTCTCTCTCTTAAGCACAGGATGTGACACCCCAGGAAAGGCTGAATTTAAAGACAGAGCCCTTTTTGCAGAAAATAACCCCAAAGAAGCACCATTAGCAGCTCACTCCAGGAATCAGGGCCTCCTGAGGATGGAAACCTCCCTGCTGGGGTGGCAAGCTGACCTTGTAGGAGAAGGAGTCTGTGTGTGGCTGCACAGAAACTGCTGCTGTGGCCAACGGGAGCTGCTGCAGCTGCACACTGGGGCTGTTTCCTCCTTCCATTTTGGGGTTTTTTCTTTATTTTTCAGCTTTCTCGATGCTGGAAGTTCTCTTTAAAGAAGAGACTTGGACCCTGCTGGAACCAAATTTTGGTACCGCTCACTGCCATCCATCCTGGTCCCTTGGGAAAGTTCAGGGAAGCACAAACCAGTCCTGCTGCCTCTCTTCCCCTGCCCTGGCTCAGGGTGGGCACCACAGGCACGAAGGGGGGTAGATGAGCACAGCTTCCAGCCACTCAGTGAAGGAGCAGGGCTATGTTCCTTCAAGATGAATCTAAGGGGAAAAAAAAAAGAAATAAAACCCAAAGAATTAGATCAAATTCAAAAACCTGCAATGAAGGATAAGCCACAGAAACGCCCCTGGAATCAAACTCACAGCTGCACATAAAAAAGAAAAGCAGATTTTAAATGTCTTCTTAGAAAGCCTTGGACAGAACACAGAGACTGTGCTTCCCAAGCTCTTGTGAACTGGCTGGGCCCCAGGGGTGACACACTCCGCTGGCATCTGACAGCATCACAAAGGCTCTCAAGTCCTCAAGCTCTGCTTTTCACGTCCCTCCTCCCCGAAGCTCCAGTTTGCTGGGGAGCAGCGCTCCGTGAGTCAGCCCATGCCCCGGTGCAAGGGCAGAGCCAGCCCGGGCAGCCCTGCCCGCAGCCCGCCTTCCTCCGAGCCCAGCTCCCCGGGGAGCGGCAGCATCCCCCCGCCCGGAGCGAGCGGGTCCGCCGGGGTGCGGCCGTCCCCGGACACCGCCCGTGTCACCGGCACCGGCCCGAGCCTCGCCTGGGCACCCCCGGGGCACAGCAGCCATGGCAGGGCAAAGGCACCCCAGTGTGAGGGGACGGGGCAGCAAATCCCGCTCCCACCGCCAGCGACCCTGCCCGGGCAGCGCAGAGCGCCCGCACACCCCGGGCCGGGACCCTCCGGTGCGCCGGCCCCGCGCCTGCCCCTCGGGGCTGCCCCGGCACTCACCGGCCCCGCTGCTGCCGCTGACCCTGTCCCCGGCCCGGCCCCGGCACTCACCGGCCCCGCTGCTGCCGCTGCCCCCTGGCCCAGTCCCGGCACTCACCGGCCCTGTCGCTGCCCCCGGCCCGGCCCCGGCCTCCAACTCCGGCTCCCGGTCGAGCGCCGCGGCCGCTTCCTGCCCAGCGCATCCGATTCGTCTCCAGCGCTGTCAATCAAAGACCCGGCCCCAATATGCGGGCGAGGATTGGCTGCCGTGCGGAGGTGGGGTCTGGTCCAGCCTATGGGCGCAGGGCTCTGAGGGGCCGGGCGGAAGAAGCCGCGTTCCGCCGCTCGGTTGCGGCGGGATGAGGCGGTCCCGCGGGCCCCTCCCGGTGCTCCGGGGCGCTCCCCGGCCCAGAGCTGCAGGGACAGCCGCAGCCTCGCGCCTTCTCCCGCTTTGCCCCGGTGGTACCCGTTCCTCCCGCCCTCCCCGTGGCGCGAACAGCAGCCGGAGCCACCTTAAAGTGCATGCGCAAAGCGCTCCCGCCGAGCCACCTTAAAGCAGCCGCTGTGGCGCTGAGAACTCGCCTGTGATTGGGCGCCTGCGGCGGCGCTCAGAGTAACAGGCACGGTGATTGGAGGAGAGCTGAGGCGGCTGTTGTCTCGGCAACCGGGTGTCCACATTCCCGGTGCCGCCGAGGGCCGGGGCGGAACGGGCAGGTACGGGCAGGAACGGGCGGACACAGACCGCACACCGCCCCTGAGCAGGGTCGGGGACCTCCCCGGTGCCCCCGCGCCGCCTCAGCCGCTCAGGTACCCACCCGCCGTTCCCAGCGCGCCCCGCGCCGCCTCACCTGGGCGGGGCTGGGGCGTGAGGCGACTTCCGGTGGCGCCTCCAGGTGAAGCCTCAGGCGAGGCCCCGGAGGGCGCCGCCTCAGGGCCTCACCTCATCCCTCACCTGGGCTCCCCGAGCCATCGCCCCGAGCGCCGGGTTCTCTCTCTGGAGACAGCAAAGGCCATGGCTGAGCTGGGCCAGCTCTGCAGCCTCGGCCCTGCTGCGCGTTCAGAGCCGGGATTGAGTTTAGAAACAAAATCCCGGCTCTGGCCTGAGTGGTGAGAGCGCTGGACGTGTGGGCTGTGACCGGATCCCCGCTTTTCCAGCTCAGGGATACACGAGGTACCTCTGGCAGAGCAGCAGCACTCGGTGCCATGTCCTGCAAATAAACAGCACTTAGCACAGTACAGGGCTGAAGGGAGAAAACATCAACCACGGCAAGGTTCTCCACTCAAAGCACAACCAGGCTTCATTTCTGGAGCAAATCCAAGGGTATCTGGAATTATTTGTAGTCACAGTGGGTTAGAGGAGTTCCAGGCCCAGAATTCTTCCTCTTGGGGATAAACCAGCACAAGGGAATAAGAAATGCAATCAAAGAAAACATTCATCAACAGCAATGCTTCCAAGGGTATTTTTAAATAAACCAGGGAAATGAAATGCAGGAGTGATTGCTGGTTTTCTGGCAGGAATACTGCATTAATGTTGGATTTGCCTTTATCTCACACATCCCATTTCAAAGGAGAGCTGCTGTTGTGTTCACATCTTTCCTCCATCTCCATATTCAGTGTTGTTATCCTTGGCTGCTCTTCTTAGGTTTCAAGATTTCCTTATAAACACCACAGGAAAGGGATCTCAAACTGGGGGGAAAAAAGAGATTTCAGTCTCAATGAAAGAGATTTCAGTATAACCAAGTGACTAACAAAAATGTTTGACGTTTATGAGGGGTTTTATTTGCCAGTGATAATGATCCCGATCTGCAACAAAAACACCAACCAAATTTAGATCAAGGTCATTAAATTAACTTTATAATCACAGCTGATAACAGGAGGAGAAATTCCAATGCAGCATGAGTGGATTAGGCCTGGAAGTGGCTGCAGGTGGATGCTGTCACTGGTGCCACCCCCCCGTGTCCCCAGCAGCGCTGCCCTGTTTGTCCTGTTTGCCTTTCCTTGTGCGGGGACACCGCCGGGGTGACTCCTGTCCCCGCTTTGCTGCCCTTCCGCGGATGCCAGCTTTCAGGAATTCCCTCTGCTCCCACCAGCAGAGGGAAGCAGAAGGATGCGTTGAACCCGCAGCGCTTTCCCAGCCGGCGCTCGCGGGTGCCGAGGGCCTCCTGGGCTTTCTGCATCAGCTTCCCAGCCGCTTCCTCCGCTGGGGGAAGGAGGAATCCCTTCCACAGCCTCCCGCCGTCTGGGGACCACGTGGTAACCCCAGAACTCCCAAAATTACGTACAGGAAGGATTTCTGAAACTCGGTACCCGGTATGTAAAGCAGGTAAATCAAGGAAGTGTTTGGCATCTTCCCCTCTTTCTTCTCCTGCCTTTAGCATCTTCTCTTTCTTCTCCTTCCTTTGATCTCTTGCTCCTTGCTTGTCTCTCCCATCTCAGTGATATCAGGAGTGCGTTATCTCAGGGTTGAATAACAGCAATCAAGGACGTAAAGGACAAAAAAAAAAAAAGATGAGGGGAAAATGATCAAGGTGGAGAAATTGCTTAAAGACTTTCTGTAGGCGCCATCAGTCTGCCTGGTCAGCTTCCAGCAGAGCCAGCTGACCTGCTGCTGAGCTGTGACTAAAGCAGGGCAGGCAGAGTCTGCAGGGAGCTTCTCCAAGCACTCCCTTCCCTTTGAGAATTTCCTGCTAGAAGGGCAGAGTGGGCAGCAGGCCAAACCACAAACTACACAAGGGCTTGGCTGCTTCTCTCCTAGGCTTTATCCCTGGAGAAGAGTTCCTGCAGCAGGTCAGGAGGGGAGGCACTGGTCCCATCAACACCAGGCCTTTTTGGGGGCTGCTGACTTGTTTCCCCCACCTGAAGGACTTGGCTGTGTCCCCCTCAGCCATTGTGGAGCACATTCCTTGAGTCAGGGATAAATGCCAGGACAGGAAGTTACCCACTTGTAATTTAGGCAGTGGAAAGAGCTTATTTGTCTCTCAGTGCCTGACCTAGAACACCCAAGAGGTGACTTGACCCACTTGTGTCACTGTGCCACTTCACCCCTGCCTGCACACATCCCTGCAGGAGCCAGGCACTGGCAGCTGCTGCTGCTGGGTTTCCCTGGCAGCACCGTGCCCCTTGCATCACCCAAACACAATTGCTGGCACTCTGAGGCGTGCAGGAGCTGAATGTCCCAGGGTGTGGAGGTGCCTGATCTCCAGTTACCCTCAGCAGCAGCGGGGTGATGGTGGATGTGCCAAACCCAGAGCTGGATGCACAGAGGGGAGAAGGGCTCCGGAGCCTTTCCCCAGCACGTGCCCTCCTGGCAGGAATCAGGAACGTGCTGCCCAGCAGGAGCTGCCCTGGCTGGGCAGGGATTGCATCCAGCCCGGGCAGCAGCAGCCAAGCCTGGCAGCACAAAGGCAGAAGGAGCTTGCAGATGCAGTTTTTTATCAGCTGCTCTGGAAACCTGCTGCAATTTTAATAATCGGCTCCAGCAGAATTGGGCAGGTCCTGCTTCCCTCAGCACAACCCCGCTGGCCACGGAGCACGGGCTCCTCAAGCACATGGCAGGACCACGTGGAGATGGACCCTGTGGCCAGGGCAGTGCAGGCTCTCTTCTGGTCCTGGTTGTTGGTAAGGAACAGCTGGCTCAGGATCCTGCTCCCTGCAGATGAACCCTCAGACCACATCTTCAGAAATCTCCTGTTACTTTGGAGCAGCCCAAGTCAGAGCAGCTCTGCTGAAATTACGGAGTTGCAGCACACTCCTCAAATTTTGGTCTGTCCTGAAGCGTTTTCCTACAAAGAAAAATAAGTGGAAAAGATGATTTGTGCTCAGCTGCTTGATAACTCAGGGGGCATTTTTACAGGAAAGGCTGAATCCACCAGAAGACTGATTCCTTGGGGTCTGATTCCTTGCAAAGCTCTCCCAGTTTTCATGGCATGGCCCATATTTGGGGTTTGTTATTTTTAGCACCATAGTAGCACCGTTCCACTTGTCCGTGCATGCAGCCAGGAACAGCTCAGCTGAGGAGAAAGAGCAGGAGGAGTTCCCTGTGATCTCACTGTAAATCAGCACCCTCTGCAGCAGCCAGCACTGCCTGCCCACTCCCTGCCACTCTTCCCCTGAGCCTTTTGTAAGGCCAAGCAGAGCAGGAGCCTCCATTCCCCTCCCAGCCATTCCTGGTTGTTCCTTGAGGGGTTTGAGTCATTCCAGGGCTGCTGCTGCTGTGGCCAAGCACAGGTTCCATGTGGATGGGGTTTTTAATCAGCCCTTGGTTCATCCATTCCCCTTTGAGCCTGGCTTCTTCCCTGCTCCTTGCTCCTGCCAAACACAGTTAAACCCCATCATCCTCATGTCTGCGTGAGTGCAGTTATGTCCCAACTGCTTCGTTTGCCCCTCAGCTGCCATTGTGTCATTCTTCAGTCCCAGGCCTTTCCCTGTTCTCTGCCTCCTGTGCCATTTGGGGAGGGGACATCAGATCACTGCCAGAATCCAGCTCTCAGGTCACCAGAACGGAACCAAGGCCGCTCCAGAGTGTTTTCCATTGGTAATTAGCAGACAAGACAATTAATGAAGTTCACACAATACTCCTAAAGACCAGGAACTTCAGCTCTTCCCATCCCACGCACTGGAATAATTTCACATTTGTGTTAGTATAAAGCTCTTCTTTTATCTTCTATGCTTCCAGACCTTCCAATTGCCACTGGGATTGGCAAAGTAGGACATGAAGGGCACTCAGCCTTCCTGGGA